CGCTAAGCCAATCCTAAACTAATACAATCCAATACTAGGCTTGTTCAACGGCAGACCGGAGCAATACTAAACCAATACTAAACCAGTAACTACGAAAGCAGCACAAAGCACTACTACACCAAAACCAAACCAATACCAGCCCAGTACTGAACTTGGGAAAGGGCCATCTGACCCCGAAGTTGTGTGGCCACTTTTCTCTATTGAGTTTGCTGGAGGGACGCCCTCTTCATTAACCAGTATCCCACATGGTCTATTTCGCGTCCAGCAATCTGCGCGCCGAGCTGCGACCTTCCCGGCACGCACCTCCTGGCTCCAAGTCTCTGGTTTTCATTATGGGCCCCGCATCTCACCGTTTCCTTCAAATAAGGCCCCAAGAGAGGAAGTTAGGAGGCAGAGGGTTGGATGCTATCATGGGCTCCCGCGGATTCTCTAATGCCCTCCCCCAACTGAAAAAGGCTTTAGATAGGTGTGAAACGGGGGGGGGATGAATATCAAACACATGTGGTTCCTTCTCTGAAATCCAACATGTTGAATTGTTTAGGAGCCAAGTAAGGCGGACAACAACATATCCTTCCAGCACCCAAACAGCCTCATCTACCGCCGCACTGGCAAGCGCGGATCTTTCGGGCTCAACTGGCCGGCGCTTTGCTAATCTTCCGATTGGTTTACGGTACAGTGGCCATTCAGTTCCTGCGGATTTGCACATGCCAGACTTTGTGCGGCTTTCCATATCACAAGCGCTTGGCCACACAAATCCTGCTCAAAAGCATGAACCTTCCTTTCTACATGATTTGGGTGTGGCTCAAAAGAATAGAGCTGATTTGGCCAATTGCCAGAGTGGCCAAATCGATCTTTGAGGCAATGCAGTTTTATCGTCCAGCATGGAAAAGTGTGAAGAGAGGTCCCAGGAGCTCCGCGAACTTCCTATATGACGGCTCTACCGCTTAGCCCTCACAAACACTAACCTGGCTCGTGGTTGAACCAGCAAGCTGCAAGCCAAGATGTGCCTAAAGATCAGCAAAAGAACCCCATGGGAGAGTTAGTTTGGCCCCCCCGCTATCATTCAGTCATGATGTGTGCAACATTGTGCAACACATGCTGGCCAGTGGCGGAAGCCACGTGTTCAGCCAAAGTTGGAAGGTCATTACATGGATGTACACATGCATATATGTGTGGCATGTTTATGTGTATGTATATATATATATACACATAATACATACATCTATCCATGTGCATATGCCCGTAAAACAAGCAAGTAAATACATCATGGACGATTGAGATTGAAATAACAAATAAATAAGAGGCACAAGCAAATACAACCATACATCTTGTTCGAAACCAACAAATAAATACATATACAATATATAATCAAAAAACTATGCAACTATGTGTAGTGTGCATATACATATATATATATATATATATATATATATATATACAAAAGGTATCGCGAGCGAAGCGGATCGCCTGCAACTCAGCGCACTTCTGGCAAGGAGGGGCCAGGCCTCAGCACATGAAGCTTTTCCAGTTCCTGGCCTTGATGCATGAGCCCAACCCATTTCCACATATACTCCTTACTTAGATGGTCTGGGACTTAGCTAAATGGTTAGTAACCCTGGATTTTTGAGGGACCTACAACCATGCTAAGTGGGTTACCACGGTTACGAACCACCTAGCTAAGTCCCAGACCATCTGAGTAGGGGCGGGGATCATTTCCGAATGTGTAATACATATGCATATATATATATATATATATATATACATACGTATAAATATATCTGTTTATTGGGGGGGTGGATTCGGAGAAAAAAAGCCTAACTTTCTTTGGTTGCCACAAAAAGTGGAGAACTATCATAAGGTTACCTTTTTGGCTATACCTTTCTGATTGCCACTTTTGCCTGCCAAGCCTCCGAAAGCGAGAATTCCGAATTGGCCAAGGCGCCGGGGCCAGGTGCTTTGGGCGCCGGCGGCGGCGGCCCCAGCGGCCCAGGCGGCCCCGGCCCCGGCGGCCCCGGCCCCGGCGGCCCCGGCCCGGGAGGCCCGGGGGCTCCAGGAGGCGCGGTGGGCTTCAGCTGCTCCAAGCGCTTTGCCTGGCGCGAATTTCGTTGGGTTTGGTTCCCCAAAAAAAACAGGGGGAGAATTGCGTTACTCTGGGCCATCCAAGTGCACCACGCTGCCATAGAGGACAATGCGTGGCCCTGGTTTTCGTGGCTGAAACTGGATGTCATGCTCCTTCCCACTTTCCCAGTTTCCCAGTTTCCCAGTTTCCCAGTGACCCTGGTAGGAAGGGAACCCGTTTGGAGTTTGGAGGTTCCCTTAAAAAGGACGAACCCAGAGGGCTTGAACCCGTTTCGTTGAGAGCTTGGAGGTTCCCATGAAAAAATGACGAAGCCAGATCGACCCGATGGCCAAAGAGGTACTATGCTCACGTCTCAGGGCACCGATCCCATCTCCCCGATTCAACGGGATTTTGTTGCGGAACTCCAGTGGCCAAAAGGGATCAATGGGCATGCTCCACTGCAGGCTGGAGGCTGCACTCCACCAACCAGCCAACACATAACGCGGGTTGACAAATGCCTGAATTCAGCTCCACTGAAGATTGCCTCTGCCAATTCAACTCAACCACCACCACCACAACACAAAAAACAACACAATGACTGATAACCACACCAACTACACCAACCATATCAACCCCACCAACCACACACACACACATACACACACCATGAAAGCCATAAAACTCACCACGCAAGCCATACAAGTGGCTGTTCCATAGCTCATGACTCGTAAAATCTGGGCTGTCCTCAGATCCCCCGCTACAAGTTTAACTTCTAGTGGGTTAAATGGAAACCCCCCACTAAACACTAAAAGGCTAAAAAGCTAAGGGACCGGATGAACCACCAAGAACTGTGAAAGAAATGTGCAGCTGGCATGTCTCCCCCCCAAAGCAAAGCAAATATTGACCAGATATTGACCAAATTCAGAAGCGGATGTCATCTCCTACCAGAAAAGCAGATGGCCCTGGTAGATAAAATTAAACCACCAGGTAAACCAGGAATCACCCGCCATTTTTCTACCAAAACCACCAAAAAGTTCAGAAATTAATTCATGCGGAGCTCGGCTCACCAACTCCCAGCTGCGCGTGTGTGTTTGTGTGTGTGTGTGAGGCGCTGGCCCCGTGTGTCGTGGGTGGTGGGGGGAGAGAGCTCAAATAGACCGTTATGAAGCCCTTAATACGTCCTGACTTTTGGTCTCCCTCCCCCTCCCCTCCCTTTGCCGCAGCTTTTTCGAGGGTGTGGCTCAACATTAAACAGGACTGGCAAACCGCAGGTTTTGGTCCATTTCCACTTACCAGGGTTCCACTTTGGAATTCCGGTTTTGGGAGCCACAGCCAGGAGTGCCAGTGTGAATCGCTTGCCGAGTCGATGGCCCAAAAAAAGTTTAAACTTTATATTTACCACTAAAATTTGGTCTTCCCAAAAGTTTAAAGCTCATGAACTCAGGAAGTCAGGAGTGAGGCGATGGCGGTGGCGGCGCCTGCTCCGCCCTGAGCTCCTGCTCCTTCTTCGCGTGCTCCGCCTCCAGCTCCGCCTTCCGCGCGGCCCAGGCCGCCGACAGGGAGCGCCTCGGGACAGGGGGGGGGGGACAGTCCGGAGGTTTTTGGCGCGCCTTGAGCCGGTTGAAGCACCACTTGGACCAAGCGCTGGGCTTCCTCTTGATGAGTATGGTTCATTGAGTTGTGTTTAGATCAGTTTAAACATATTCAAGTGGTTCTTGTATATACTTTGTTGTTCGTTTTGCAATCCCCCCCCCAATCTGTGTATTTTGTTAAGGGGAAGTCTGGGAAGCCCGCTGTTCGGGCTCAAAACGGCTTCCCGGCTTCCCGGGGTGCGTCAGGCAGGGCTGGCGCGTGCCAACCCGTCGCTACGTGAAGCAAAGGACTATCATATCAATCCAAACTTGCTCTTGTGGTGAACTCAGGTAACATGGAAGTGCCCAATGCACCAAGGCAGACACAACAGGCCTACATTCGCAAGGACAAAGCTGCCAGCTTCCATCATTGCTCTGCAAAACAGAAGATGGGGTTCCCCCTCCATTATATGTTTGCTTTGCTTAAACAAAGCACGATGCAACAACAAATGTTGTTTGACACGAGTTGGCCTGGCGCCAAAGAAGCAATCGCCCCTTCAAATGGCTTGCGCTTATGTTGAGCCGGGCTTCCAGAGCTCATATGCCTCGTCCCTTTTTGGGAATCGGACCCCTCCCCCCCCGAATTGGTGGCTATGCTGTTGGTTTCCCTTGTAAAACCATGTTTTTACTAACCCACCCCCACCCGGGGACATAGGACCTAGAGCATCTACATAAGATGTGTGCATATATATATGGTGAGGCCCCTCCCCCATGAACTACCTTTCCTTCTTTCTTCCTAGAATGACTGCAAAATCACTGCATATGTATATTATATATATGCATAATATCTAAAGTAAAAAACAACTTACCCTTTAACCCTGGCGAGTGGCTCAACGTCCGCTTCCACAGCGGCCTGCAGCCGTTCCCGGACCTCCTCGCTCGACCAGCGGCTGAAAAAATATGTGCAACGACCGGTTGGTCAGTCCCAGTTCAGGGAGTTGGGCCACTCAGCACAGAAAGGAAGCCCTAAAGGGAACATGCACGTCAGGTAAGGTGGGCAATAACCATGGCGAGATAACCCAAAGCCATGGCTATAAGTCTCCATTCAGTGGATCATAACCAGGCTTACTAACCCGATCGGTGACTCAATCTTGCCACGAACAGCCATCCCGCCTGGCTCACAAACCCCTCAACCCATATTTGTTTCTCTGCCCCCAACCCCCCAACAACCTGAAAAACATCCGTCTTTTCTGGGTCGGCGAGCAACATGGCTTTGGCTTGCTTTCGTGTGAAGTGTTTAAGACAGGGTGGTGCTTCTCATTGAAACCCCCCAGTGGCCATGGGAAAGAGGGCGCTGTTCTTGGAGGTACCTAGACTCTCCATGACCCTTTAAACATGGGGGTCATCCCAAATGAAAGGGGTCATAGAAAGGGGTCACCAACCACTTGTAAAGGGTCAGAAGGAGACTCTAGGTATAGAATAGTTGCATGTTGGATGCTTTGCAGTGGTAACTGTTTGTAAAGGGCACATGTCTTGGAGGTACTTCATTTTAAAGAAACAACACCAAACGGGTCACATAGAAACCACCCGGTGGAAGCCTTAGCTGTTGCCACGCTGCGTCGCGCGCAGCGCGACCTCCGTCCTGCTCCAGGGTGGCGCGCACTTGCGCCTCGAAGCCGCTGGAAGATCGCAACTTGTCCATCAGCTCTTTCGAAAGCTTCTCCTTGGCCTGATCCAACTTATCATGGGGGTTGGGGGGGGGAGGGGGAGGAGCCCAAACAAGCCCTTGCTAAGCTCTTAATATTTCACAAAGCGCATAGCCCAATCCGTAAACCGCATAATCCGCAATCTGCAAATCACTGGATTAGGTTTTGAGTAAGCTAAAGTATTTCTTCAAAAACCCCAACTCCAGCTCTTCTTTGGCTGCCCGACGGGGGCTCACTCCCTTGTTTGCACCATGGCTTGTGCCATGAGTGTTTCCCGTTGAGTTGGGGGTCACTTTGCCACCGAATGTCCCCTAAGAAAGCCCTGCAGCTTGGCCTGAAATTGAAACATAGCTTCAATTTGGTTAAGGCCCCTGCAAAATATTTCCAGTAGTGATAGATTCCCTTTCAAACCAACAGGGGAAAATCAGACATATTATTAAGCACATGGAAGGTAGTACGGCTTACCCGTGATATGAGGGCAAGACGCCAGGTTTCAAAGAAGTTATCTTTTGGGCCCAGAAAGGTATCCGTTCAGAGCCCTAAGAAGACACGCTTACCCGATCCGTCCTGGCGCTCCAGCTCAGGCAGTGACTCCTCCGCCTGCGCGCTGCGAGCTGAAAAACGCTACCCCGGAAGTGACTCGAAGAAAAGAAACAAAAAGCGGAAAGCTGCCATGGTTGTCTAGGTCCTCCAGGAGAGGTTCGAACAATTTGGTACCCGATTTTTTTTGCTGTAGTCTATTTTAGTAGGGGAACCCTCCCAACCAAAAAAAGGGCTTAAGAAGGGCAGTACTGGGGGGCCTAGTTGTGGCAAAGATAGGGCCCGAGAAATTTGGGCCTCCCAAAAGGCACATTACCCAGATTCTCAGGGTGGTGGTGGACATTCACCCTTTCCCCACCCCCCCCAAGAACTGCTTGTTCTTAGGTCCAAACGATTCAAGTACTGTCCGGTTGGGGCTGCAGGTCGTGATTTGCCTTTTCGCCATTGATGGCCGCTCTCTTGATGCCCGCTCCACAAGCAGCTGATTTGAGATGCCCTGTGCTCGGAAAAGCTGTGTGATGCCAAATTGGGGGGAAGTCCCATGACTTCTGGCTTCAAAGGGGTTCCTTGGTGTCGCAGAAATTGGTTTCAGCTGAAACACTACATTCCCCACAGCCTCTTCCGCTGTGGTGGTGGTGGGGGCTCCTGAGATTGTTCGTTGTTGCCAAGCAGGGCTGTGGGAAATGACCACTTCTGTGACACAACAAAAAAGGGCCTCCCAAAGACTAACCCCCCGTATAAAAAGGGGATTCCCTTGTATCACAGAAGTGGGGATAAACCCCTTGATCCCACAACCCTGCCAAGGGTCTAAAGAGGGCCAGGTCTAATTAAGGTCCCTGTTCTTTGGGGAACCCGTTTCACGCTGAGAGACGAAGGTCTAGACAATTGGCTCCACTCACCTGCCCAAAGGACCTGGAAATAAAGCCTTCACCTTTTGGGACCTTGACCAAACAGGTCGACCTTTTGGACATTTTGAGCAAACTAAGTCCTAAAAAAGTCCTAAAGAAATATATTTTGGAACAAAATTAAACTCTCAAAAAGGTCGATTCGCTTTGGGCAACTGTCCAACGAACCCAATGACAAAGCCTCAGGGCGCCCAATAGGCTTTGCGGGCGGTCTCCCGTGCTTTGCACCTACTCCTCGGCTTGCCTGTTTTCTGAATGGATTGGCCGAACAAAAGTCAGCAAACTTCTCTGCCATGGCGAAGAGAGCCAGCAACATGCCCTCGCCTTCGCCAAAGCCGCTTGCGCCAAATCACCTCACGGCTCACCGACTTTACAGCATGGCCCGCTCTCTTGGCAACCCCCGCGCATTTGGGCTCATCTTGGCCTAGAAGAAGGGTACCCTCCGTTGGATTAAGTCCGCATGGAACAAATGAGAACATGTTTCCAGTATTTTCCAGTAGTGGTAGGTTCCCTTCCAAAACAACAGGGGAGACTAAAACATATTCCTTGCAGCAAATGGAAGCTACCAGCTGATATGGAACCAAGGTATTGGGTCTGGTTTGCATCGAGAGGTGCCTGAGGTGGGAATGTGGCCGTCAGTACATTGTTGTTGTTGTTTGTTTTTGTTTCGGGGGGATCCTTCTTTCAAACTAAGGTGGAAGTGGCACCCTCGAAAAGAATGGAAACCCCATTGATCTCCCAGCTTCAGAGAGACTGCCATGGCCCATATCAAGGTTGCAGCCCGAAACCCGCTTGTGCAGGGTAAAACTTTTTGGCGAAAGAGGGAAACAGCCAAGAAACCGAACCAAGTTTCTATCACGGCTTAATCATGGAAGTGTGTTTTTGGGGTACGCTTGTTGGGGACTCAAAAACAAACCAACAAACACGACCCATTTTGGGGCTGCACTGATTTTAAGACGCACCCTATTAGAGGCTCAAAGCAGCTCGCATGTCCACGGGCTCTCTGGACCGCCGGCCTTGCTTGGAGGAAGTTGAGTGGGAGGCTGGGTCAGGGTCGCTTCGACCCTATGCATAGCCACTTCGCACGAAATGGATTAAGTAGGGGCATTGCACGTCAGGTAAGTGGGTCATCATGGCGAGATAAGCTAGCAAAGCCATAGCTAGAAGTCTCCAATCAGTGGATTATAACCAGTGGGCAATAACCATGGTTTCCACGCACGTACCACTCCTTAAGTGGACTCTCTCACCAGGCGTACTAACCACTCCGACGTACCGAATCGATCACCCCTTTGACGCAGCTCCCCCCAAATCCCCCAAAACGGGCAGCATCTAAGGCGGGCACCAGAGGGCGGAGGGCCGGGTGCCTCAGATGGATCAATGTTGGTATCGACTCCAGATTAAATAGGTCCTCCAGGAACTCCCTAACTTTCCCAGTGATTCCATTCCCCTGTGCAGCAGGCAACCGAGGGAACCACCCCTTAGATGCCAAGAGGAGAATTGTTGGTTGCTGGCTACTTAATGTAATGTAGGGCTAAGTCCTCCAGTAGAGAGGTTAGAAAAAGGGTACCTGTTTTTTGTTTATTCTATTTTACTAAAGGAACCCTCCCCCCAAAAAAGGGTAAAAGGACACTACTGGGGGGACTAGTTCATCAACCAACCAGTCCTTTTCCCTGGGTAAAATGTGGTTGGAATCAGACTACTTGTGGAGGGGCCAAAGACCAGCCCCCTACAAAAACTAGATGGTTGCCTGAGGAACATTGTCCAATAGTCAGGGTCCAGGGGGTTCATCGAAATGTCAAGTGACACCCAGGAAAACCCCGCGAAGCAATTCTGCGAACCCCTCAAACTGTTTGCGACAAGCGGCCAGGACTATCCAATGCAAAGAATCCAACGGCTAACAAAAACCTGCTTCTAGACTTTGGCAACCGGAAGCCTGGACTTTCAATGCTCCCCTTTTCACGCATACGCTTGATACGCTTGTAGGCTCAGAAAGAACGCCCCAAGCAGGATTTCTGCACAGTTCTCCCAGTTGCCCAGTGGCTCGGAACCTTATTTTGGGCTGACCAAACATTTGGTGAGGCGCCTGCCAAAGAAAAATGCCGCTACAACTGGGTTCTTGTATCCTTGGAAAAGGTCGAAAGCAAACCTGGCTCAGTAGGCGGTGCCTGGTTGTTCCCGTGCGCAGGGGGCACGCTTTTCCCCTCCAAATGAAGTGGACCCCCAATTGGGGGGGGGGGGGTACTGGGGGGGGGGTTACTGCAAAAGAAGATTCCTCTTGAAATAGTTCTTGCGCTTGCGTGTTGATCTGCTGAAAATGTATGTAGCCGAGTTGGGGAATAATTGATTGAGCATAGGCCCTCCGCGTTTTAAAGCACAGCAAGCCGAAGGTCTTGTACACATGTTCAATCAAAGCTCGGGCCATGTTGACCGGCCAATAGCTGTACCAACCCATGCCGTTGACTCAGCCCAAAGGACCCGGCGATAAAAAAAAAGAAGCCATGTGCGGCCATGACGAACATGGACCAAGGGGAAACAAAAAGGTCAACAGCTTGGCCTTGGGAAACTGAGAGAAAGGATAGCGCTTTGCTGTGTGAGTGTACATCTGACAAAGGCATACCCTGCGTAAATTCAAATGCTTGCGTGGTGATGGACAACCCTCCGCGGATCAGGCAAAGACGCGGGTGGACCATCCACATGCTTCGCAGCGCGAGCTTCCTGGTCGAAGTCCTAAGCAACACAGGCATGGGCTCTGGAGGTATGGAGGTTATAACCTCTAGGAAGTATATTATATACTAGCTTAGGTGCGTAAGTCTGCGTACCTTCAAACTCCGAACCTGAAAATGCCCCTGAAAGCCAGTACACAAACAAACAAAAACAAACAAGCAAACGGTTAAACAAGCAAACAAACTAATCAACCAACCAAACCAAACAAACTCATACGCACACGCACGCTCCCGCGCTCGCACACACACACAGAGACTTACTTTGCCAGAACAAGTCCGAAGGCTTGATACACATCATAGAAACTCACTAGTTGGATCCATTCGGATGTCAAAAACGGGTTTCGTCCCGTTGCTTTTCTGTCTCCTGGTAGCTTCCTTCAGTGACTGAGCCTGAGGGCCAGTTCACTTGTGCCAACCCACGGTACAATCGGCATTTTTTGCACATTGGATTCTGGCCCATATGTAATCGACCTTATGCAAGATATATTCTAAGACTGCTGGTCAGCCTGCATATCTGCTTCATATATCCACGGAAACTTGCTGGTGCGAGAGATGCAGGGAATGGGAAATGGAATGACCCCGAGATATATCATCCAACCAGCGGTTTCCTTTAAGGGGACCCAAGGCTGGGTTCATTCCAATTCATTTGGCTGTGGGTCAATGGTACCATTTCGGGGTAGGTAAATTCACCACGCTTTTTGTCTATTTTCGTGGGGATTGGGATGTTCACTGGGGGTACGATTTGGATTTTGACCCATGGCCATTTCCTACCGATTTCGGGATCCTTCTTTCTAGAAAACCTCCGGAAACCCAGGGAAACGGCCGGTCGAAAAGAACGACGGTTGGAAACCGACTACCGATTTCGCACCGGCAAGGAAAACCGACCGCTTCCAGCCCCGGGTGCGGCCACCTCAGCGCCGCGCTGCGATCTTCAGGCGCTCCTCCGCTTCCTGAAAGCCCCGACTCAAGCGCTGGCTCTGTTGTTCAGGGTGACCCTGGAAAAAAGGGAACCCTTTTTGGGAAGACCATTTTTAGTGGGGCAGCCACCAAAAAAGGGAAAAATAGTTGGTGCCACTGAACAACTGAGCTGGGTCTCCGGGAAGTTGCGCGGCTGTGCTACTCACCTCCCGAGCGGACTGGCCGAAACCAAACTTGTCCACCATTTGGTTGACCCCTGGAAAAATAGAACATATTTCCAGTAGTGATAGATCCCCTTTAAAACCAACAGGGGAAGAACAAAAACTCTTAAGCAAATGGAAGTTGTTGATTGCTACTGAACTGGTCCAACCCCAAAAAGAGACTACAGTCCAGAAACTCCGGGAACATATTGCGCATCTGATTTGAAAGGCAACGGGCTTCCCCCCGCAAACAAGAAAGACAAAAAAAGAAAAAAGCTGGAGGTCTGGCATTTGAGGGGTCTCAACATCGGTTGTGACGTGTTTCCCCTGAAAGCCACGACTTAGATGATACTTTTGGGAGCGTCACTGGGCCCAGCTTGATGTACACGCACCCGAATTTGCTCGCTCATGTGCAGGAAAAGCCAGCCCCAAAACAAGAACGCAAATGCCAATAGACCAGCGTTTTCGCAAAAAAAAACACACACACACAAAAAAACTACACTGTTATTCAGATTCACCTTTCCCGGCTAAACAAAACACCTTTGAATACAAACAACACACACCAAGTCAACGACACCAAAGAAATACGTGCGTGATTCAGTGACCGCGCGGGCCTTCTTCAAGCGGTCCCGGACCTCTGCCTCGATCGCCGCGGCGGCTGTGATGCGCATTTTCTCCTCCAGGGGAACTCGGTCGGAGCAGCTTTTCCGGATTTCCATTTCAAGGCCTGCGCCAAGTGGGGGGGGTTCCTTTTAAGGACCCCCCGCCCACCCAAAAACATCCGGTTCTGTGGGTTTTCCTTTCTCAAAAGAGAGTCACCCAAGTTGATACCCTGGAGTGGTCGCTCCAACGAACTCGGAGCAAACAACATGTCAGGGCAGGGAGCCGTAAAGGGAGCGGGCTGTAAGCCTAAGGGCCTTAAGGACTGGGCGGTCAAAATCAAACCCGTACTGGTGTGAGTCCTCGGTTCCCTTTGCCAGGGCAAGCCATTTTGGGGTCACCCTCTTGAATTTGTTTGCCCACGGGTTGCCAGGGGTTATCCTCTTTTTGAATGTTTTGATCCACCGTTTTCCTTTAAAGCCGCCAAAAAGGGGAGGGGTGCCCGCGTAACTGCTCTCTTGCTTGGCTCGGGGCTCGCATCCCAGAATTGTTATTTTCGCCAACAAAAAAAGAAGAAGCAAAGAGTTGATGCCGCTGAACATTTGGGAAGTGGTCTTCCCCAGACCCCCAGTGGATACATTTCCATGAGGAACAACAACTCTTTTTTGTGGTAGTTTGCCTTGTCAGGAGACCCAAGCTCAGTTGAAATCCATCAAAGCTACCGGAGATTCTGCACCTGAAGCCTTATTTTCGGGTGGGTTGGCTTAAACTTCCCCTAGAAATCTCCTTTGCTTTCCTCACTTCCGATCGAGTGGATGGCCAAACAAGTTGTCAATATTTCGTTTTGCTACTAAAATAGTCCAACCCCAAAACGTGACTAAAGTCCAGAGACTCCGGGAGTATAAACTTCCGCATTTGAATTGAAAGGGCTTTCCCCTCCATACAGAAAAAAGGAAAAAGCAGAACTGCTGGAGGTCTGGCAGTTGAGAGGAAATAAACAAATAAACAAATATGCTCAAGCAAATGGAAGGAGCAACATAGACAGAGCTGACGTGGTTTCGACCTGGCGCCCAATGGTCCAACCCCAACAAAGTCCAAAGTCCAGAAACTACTGCGGATAGACAAAATCCTGTTAGAATCGCTGGAATGGATTGATTCCCCTTTAAATACCAACAATCCACCGTATGGGTGTTTTCTTGCTAGAGGACCACTCCAGCACGGAATGAGGGACCACACCCCTATAAACCATCCAGCTGGTGGTTTCCTTTGAGAGGACTCAAGCCTGGGTTCAGTCCAACCCATTCCCAATCGCACCAGAAAAACCTAGGGAACTCGGTTGCTTTCTGCTCCCCTGCAAAAATTGACCGACTTTTCGTGATTTAATGGTCACCCATTAGTTGTCAAGAAGTTGTTCAGTCCTAACATCCCTCGGCAAAATGCACCAAAGAAAAAATGGCCCTATCCCCAAACCACCAGGGAAATAGAACAAGACCCGTCCAAACCAGTGGACCCCATGCATCTCCTTCCTGGGCAACGGCCCTGGGTCCCGTCCCGGCCCATCGGCCCACGGAGCCCGCGCCGAGGGCCCCGGGCTCCGAGGCTCCGAGGCTCCTCCGCCTCGTCGGCCAGCCGGGCGCGGGCCGCCTCCTCGAGGTGTGGGTAGTGCATCAAGGCCTCCTGCCGCGCCTGGCGGCGGCGGCGCGGTGAGACGCGTTCGCTTTTTTTTTCGCGCTTTCGGTGAGTCGGATTTTGTTAATATTCATGCTTGGGGTATGGAGTCAGAACGCTGCGAAATGGAGTTCGCATCCACCAGTGTGGTAAACAATTCCGTAGACACCAAAGGCCCCTGGAAAAATGTGAAAATATTTCCAGTAGTGAAATGGATTCTCATTGAAACCGACAAGGGACCACAATCTACTCTTAAGCAGGTGGAAGGAAACCGCATCGTTCGGAATGCGTGTTGAGCACGTTGGCGCCGCAAAAGCAGTTAGTCCCAGCCCAAGTTGGTGGCCCCACGTGGCCATGTCCGTTCCATGTCACTGCTTACGTTCATGGTCCCAAGAAAAAAGGTGGAAGTCTATGGGTCACAAAACGGGAGTGCTCACAAAGTGCGGTGAGGGAGAAACATATGGCTGCGGGTCAAACATATGTGCCCAAAATGGAATCCTGGTAAAGTGAAAACATGGACCAAAACTTGCGGGTCCGCTGGTGGTGTAACTTTGACCCATACCCAAATATCAAGCAACCCCGGTTCATTAAAACCCAGGAAAACCACCACTTAAATCCCAAGAGGAAAATTGTCGGTTATTGGCTCCTTCATGTAACTGAGTCCTGCAGATTTGAGAGGATAGAATACGGGTACCCGATCTTTTTCGGTAGTCTGTTTTAGTAGGGGAACCCTCCCACTGGGGGGCGGAAGCAGTGTGGAGGTGGAGTTTCCAGCCCCGCTGCGCGACCCGCGCGCCTGCTTCTCCAAGGCCTCTCGCGCGGCCTGCTCCATCGCCGGCAGCTCACTCCTGCGGAAAATTTCGGATGGGGCCAGGGCTGCAGACGCAGACCTCTTTAACAGGGATCCTTAAATTATACACCTGAACATTGCCTGGTAAATGGTGGTTTCCTTTAACTTTGGTGAGGAAAAACATGTCTTAAATTGGCAAAATGTATCTTTTAAGGAGCCCTGTTTGCGCTGCAAAGGAAAACTCTTTTTTTGCTGGATACTGGCCGCTTGTTTTTGCCATGATCAAAGTCACCCCTAAGTTGTGGGCTAAAGGGAAACAACCTCATTTTCTGACTTTGATGACCCCTAAAAACCGTCAGAACAAGGCCCCAGGGATACGCAAGGCAGAAACACGAAAGGGCGAAAATGTCGGTCAAGTCTTGGCAACGGCATGGCGCCCTTCCGCAGGGAAGCCTCCCGCATTGCCGGCCGGCGCACAGGTAGATGTGTTTCCCGGGCCGCGAGGGGCGTCATGGCAACATACACTAGGTCCTCCAGATTGGAGAGGTTAGAATAAGTTGGTACCGTTTCTTTTTGCTGTAGTCTATTTTAGTAGGGAAACCCTCCCCCAATAAAGGGCAAAAGGGCACTACTGTATCAACAAGACTGCTGATAGCTAACACATTTCCTGAGACTGGCCCAAGCGCCGATGTGTTGATTGGCACGAACTGCGTGCCCCGGTAAAGAATCTTTATCAAGCCGCATAGAACTATTTCGCAAGTTGGGGTCGTGCTATGCTTGACTCATAACAGCAATAGGGGCAGAGCTGAGCTTTCTTCGTGGAGCCAACCCTCAACCGTGGTGAGTTTTGGCTGCATGAACCTTAAGGCAACTGCCCCAACATCCCGAAGAAATCAAGGTTTTGTGTAACCCACATATTTTTGCTGATTGGTTTAAGGCGCAAAAAACCACTCCATAAGCCAAGTCGTACCTGCAGGTCATGGCAACCGACTCATTCTCACAGCCCTTGTTGTAGAACACAGTTTAAATTTGTAGACTGTACAAGCACCATGGGTGCAAATCCCTAAGCCACCAACCAAGGGTTACCTGAGCAAATACCCTCCCGCGAACGGTTGAACACGCCCCCGATTCATGGACAAAACCAAGCCCATTTCTTGCGGCCTCTATTATAGCCAGCTGAAACATCCCGACCAGGATTCCATTTGAAACTTGCCACAGAACCAGCTGAAGACATTTTACGCACCGACCGCACAAACCAGAACGCCACCGGCCCCGTGGTTCAGTTTTACACATCTTGTTTGCCCAGCCACGTCAGGCCCGAAGAAACACAAAGCAACGCCCTTAGGATGAATAAGCCAAACAACCAGAACTGGCCAAGCAGAAAGCAACTCGTCATGGCGCCCAGAAAAGGCCCATTTACGCTAGAGCAGCATTTGTGAAAAAGCCATCTTCAGAAAGGATTGCTCCCAATGCGCACGAAACAGGGGCTCCACAAGAAAGAAACACAACGAAACAGAAGGGCCAGCGGCCAGCGTCCTCACCCTATCTTCGACTTCTTGTCGCACACGAGCTCGTATATCTTCCTCCTGAAGTAATGCCGAGAAATAAGCCTGCAACACCGCAACATCACAAAGGCCACGATCAAAATGCGCGACGGACTCTCCCCTAAATCTGCCCAGTAGCAAGCCGATTGTTCAGCACTGCGGCCCGCTCCTGCAAAGGGCAAGGCGATGACTTGTGACAGAAAGAGATGCAGCAACTAACCAAGTTATATGCGGCAACATGTCCTTCCCCAAGGCGATTGAACAGCTGGGGCTTTAAGTGACGCAGCGTGACCGCGCCGAACAAAATATGCATACGTGTGACACAGCGTGACGCGTTGCGAACTTGTGGGCAGGTTGCTGCATCACAAGCCGAATTTCGCCGAATGTTGGGCGACGTCGGCATTGCCAATCGTATGACTACAAGGGAAGACTTGGAGAATTAGGCCGGTTGCCAGCGCAGGGAGGGGCACTTGAGCACAAAATGTGTTGTCGCGCGCAGGTTGTAGCCCAGCTAGCCAAACAGCGCGCTAAGTAGAAATGCAAGCTTTCCAAAAGGGAGAGTTTCGCGTGGCGTCGCGCGCCCAGGCCTTTGCTTGTCAGAAAGTCGCGGTTGGGATCTCACAAGGGCCTGTTTGGCTTGGTCAGCAGAGTGTGCCAAACACTGTTGGTCGAAACGAAGGCCATATTCTTTGTCGACCGTCGAGGCGTGTCTGACTGAGCGCAAATGCAAGCCAATGAGATAGTTTGACAGCCATCAAATACGAATGCTATCAGCAGACATATTGCAATGAGAATAAAGGCGACCACTTGCCAACGCAACGTCAAGCCGCTTGGGAAACACTGTCCACCTGCAACTTGCCTTACCCCTTAAAACTCCAAGCCGTGGGGAAGTTAATCTTTTACAGACATATAGCCCATGTTACCCAACAAGTTACGACAAGTTGTGTTTTTAAGAGGTAAGTTGCACTGCCTATGCCTTGCCCACAGAAACTCTGTCGCTCACTGAAGCGCGCCCTCTGCTCCACTTCTTTCTCCAGCTTCTCCTTGCAAGCCCACATGCCAATCCGTGTTGAACACTCGGGGTTCTCGAACTCAGGGATCCCCCGTTTGGCTGTTTCTCACTGGCTGAGTGGATGGCCCAAAAAAAGTCCAAACTTTATATTTACCACTAAAATGGTCTTCCCAAAAAGTTTAAAGTTCATGAACTCAGGAAATCAGGTTTGAAGGAAGGGAACCAGCACCTGGGATGATTCTAGTAAGCCCTTATGCTCGCTTGGATTGGTGGTTTGGAGATTTGAAGCCCAGGTTCTTACCACTGGAAGCGACAAACAATCACACAAAAGTGAAAGATGGCACACATCGTTTTGATCATGAACTCGTTTTGCTTAGGCGCCGTATGAAACTTCAGGCATGGATCCAATATGCCCAGGGGCAAGGCATTCCGACAATGTGGTGACGGCTTTTGGCATGGAGCGCCAACCACTTTAGGGGACCACGAATTTGCTTATCCCCCATGGGTACCATTGTTGGTTGGTATTTACAGGGGAACCGAATCAGAAACCAGGGTTGCTGAATAGTGGGGCGATTTCTGCATCCACTTCGCCTACCCCAAAATAAAACCGTTTGGAGCCAGCAAACCCCAAACTTGGCTCACTTTCCAAGTGGATGGCCCAAAACAAGTAACCTAAACGTTGCACTTAAATGGCCACCAAACCCAAACAGTTTGGCCCAACAAAAAGCCCAAGCTTTCTATTTACAACTAAAATGGCATCCCAAAAAGTGACTCCAGTCCACTCCCCAGTGCTCGGATCTGGACTCCTGCCTTTGCCAGCCTCTCCATAGCCTCCATGCCGGCACGAGCCCGCTCCTCCGCCTTTTCCGCAAGCGCGGGACCGGAGCTGGGCTTGGCATCTTCGATTGGTGCATAGCTTCTCATAGCTTAGGAGCCCCAGGGCTCGGACCCTATGCGGGTTGACCCCCTTTCCGGCCTCAACTCATGAGGTGCAAGGGGCTCCTTGGGTTAGCTGAAGCGCGGGTCTGGCCTCTGGTGGAAAGCCGAAAGGATCGATTTATTTAGATACTTTGGCGACTAGATGAGCCCTACACATATATAGCTTGCTCTTGGGTCATCAGCAAAGTGCACGTTCGAGTTGTGCGCTTGGGGCAGAGAAACTCCCTTCCTGATTTGGTTGGCCAAAACATGTGTAATCAACAAATGTGCAATGACGTGAACGGATCTTCCCCAAGAAATCCAGGCAGGGAAACACAAGGGCATTCTCAAGCTTCTCTCTGCTGGTGGGCAAAATGTCACTCTTTGATACGGTTTCTCGTCAAACAAGTTTTTGTTTCGGCTGACTCTAGGCGGCTCTGGGTTTGGTGGAGGGGTTGATACTGACCCGAATCAGGCGAAGCACTTAGGAAGGAAAAGGTGAAGGAGAGTGCCATTTGGTGCAAGCCCTCTTCGAAAAGCCCGTGCGGAAAAGGGCTGTGCCCCAGTGAAGGTGGGTTCTGGGCAAATGTTCGTACCTGGACTCTCCATGACCCTTGAAAAATGAGGGCATCACCCAAAAGAAAGGGGTCATGACCCCATCAAGGAAGGGTCACGCAGAAGTCGCAGATCCACCAGGTAAAGTGCGCGTGGGTATGGGTGAGCTCGTACAAAGGTCTTTTCGGAGCGATTCGGTCACAAAGCCCTGCCATGTACTCAGGCCTAGGAGTTAGCCAAATGGGTACTAACCCTCGGGAACGATAGCGTTTCAGGGGCTACCAGGATTACCAAGCATTTTGTTTCCGGGACCATCTAAAAACAAATGCAAGTAGTGGTGGGAAACACAGTTTGCACCTTGTTTTGGTAGCTTTGGTGGGCGAAGGCAACAAGCCGGAAGGCTGAAGGGCGACTGCTCCTCCGTTCTTTGGTGCCGTTTCTTTTTTGTTTTTGCTTTAAATTATTTTATCTGCCTCTTGAGTTCACCTGAGATGTCACGCTACAAGCTTGCTCTGGGCGATTCTCACGGTTGCTTCTGCTTTTCCTTGGCGTTGTCATTGTCTGGTCAATTACCTATCGCACACCAAAATGGATGTCGGCGTTCCTTTGCTGAAACAAAGCAAACAAAAGGTACCAACTCCAAAAAAACAAGACAAGCACAGGGGTTTGGACCTCATCAATGCTGGATTTCGGAAACCTGTTGGCGTGTCAAACCTTATCCTCCGTTTGCTTAAGCACAGTAGACAAATAACGACGTACTTCCAGTACCTAGAGTCTCCATGACCTTTAAGAATGGGGTCAGGACCCCTTTCTTTTGGGTAATGACCCCATCTTTTAAGGGTCATGAAGAGTCTAGGTAGCGCTAAATTCCCTGTAAAACAAACCGACGAACATCAACAAACATTGTCTGTTCATCTTAAATGGCAGTTGAAACCGAAACCGAAAGGACCGAAACGACCCGCGCCTCCCGCTCCATCTTGGCGCGGGCTTCCCGCTCCATGGCTGCCGCCGAAGGCTTCAGCCGCTCCTCGATGTCCCGCTCCATGCGCGCACGCCTGCAGATGCTGGAGGCGTCCAGCCCCGACACCCGGTCCTCCCCCGGCAGCATTCTGGCCTTGCGGGTTCTCTCAACTGGGCTGCCCTCAGATCCCCAGCTAAAAGTTTAACTTTCAGTGGGTTAAATGGAAACTACCACTAAACACTAAAAGGCTAAAAAGCTAAGGGGGTGGCGATTTATGTGGTTTTCCTTGTGGTTCTCCTTACTTACTTGCCAGTGCGAGAGATGCAGGGAATGAGAAATGGAATGACCCCGAGATTTAAACCATCCAACTGGTGGTTTCCTTGAAGAGAATCCCGAAATGGAGCTTCCCAAAAGCCGGAAGGTCATTCGCGTGCAAAGGAGGCGGCGTCAGGGATTGGGGTGTTGACAAGACAAGGCCGAGCTGGTAAGTCGTTGGTATTTGAGGTCCTCAAAGTGTGGGTGGTCTGCCATCTTGAGTGAGTAAGTCGCTGGCAACCTAGTCAGCAACCCACTGAACCATCACACGCCAAAACGACTCAATCACCAAAACTGCCGCAATCTGTATGAGTCCCCTAAGTGGAGCTTGCACTGTTATTAAGGGTGTAACTACAAATTCGAAGAAATTCCGCACATGAGGTGCCAAGCAGCAGTTTGGGCATTGGTCAGAAGCCCCAACTTGTTATTTGCCACTACATTGGTCCAAACCCAAAAAGTAGCTAATGTCCAGGAACTCAGGACGTGAGACACAAAAATCACCTGGGCTGATTTTCGCATCTCCAACGATCCGGACAAAATGTGTGAGGCGCAATCAAAACCTGGTATTAAAAATGGTTGACCCAGAACCATGTAAGGAAATACAAAGGCGGCCGCAACTATTTATCGCTGGGATTGTCCCTCACTATCCTTCATCTACCCGGGTATTGATTGTGGCTCATGTCCGATCCAGGCCTCTCGCGCTCCAGCTGGTCCCGAAGATGCCGCATGGAGTCTTCGACCTGCCAAAGGGACGCCCCACGGCAATCCCAAAGCTCAAGGGGTCCTGCGGTTGCTCTTTTTGGTGGGGTCAAACCCCAAACAAATCGCCAAAAGCTCAAGTCGAAAGACCCTTTACTAGTTACCCAATAGCAATCAAGGTAGGTATCACACAAAACTTGGTTGACGTTGGGTTTGGGGAGCAAAAATTGAAAAAATAGCAGTTATAGGGGTGGATTTCACACGAAACCACAAGAAGCAAAATGTAAAATGTTTCCCAACAACAACCATGAAAAGATGGAACCACACTTACTTGGAATCTATGAAAACCTTTCCCCTTCGACTCCTTTTACCAAGCTAGTTGTGCCACGCCAAGTTTCCAACAAAATTGTTGATTTGGCGCGAGATGCAAACTTGTCGGCACAAACCTGCTTGCGCAAGGGTGCAAAAAGCGCCAAATGCTGGCCACAAGCTATAGGGTGGGGAAGGTAAGTGCGTGCATACACGCAAAAATATACACAGATATCTTTGTATATGTAATTAGATGTATATGCATCCCCCCCGTCTCACAGTAGGATTTCCAATTTCCCTGCCTGGCGCTCGGCCTCGGCACGGCTCGTCCTGAGATGGGGTTACGCCAGGGAATCTTGAGGTCCAAGGCAGGGGTTTCATTTGAATCCTAAAGGGTACCAACTAGGTCCTCCAGATTTGAGAGGTTAGAACAAGTTGGTACCATTTCTTCTTTTTTTTCTGTAGTCTTTTTTAGTAGGGGAACCTTCCCCCAAACAAGGGTAAAAGGGTACTGCTGGGGGACCTGGCCAATCTTCCAGTTACCACTAAGTCACTATGGGTAACCAGGTCTGGCTGCCTGAGGTTTTACATCATGAAATCGACAACTGGAAGCGCTGTGCGCTTGTGTTTGAGGGAACCCTAAGGCGGTCGATTGATGAGCTGACTCGCGCTGGAAATGGTTCTGACCCAAGCCGCTTGGGCAAGAACTCACTCGCTGACTCCCCTGGCTGAACTGGAGCAGTCATCAACAAATCCGGGAAACATGTGAGTATGTATCAAGACGTGCGCAAGAACACACGTAGCACCATTCCACACGGCACACAGTTAACAAATGTTCCATCTATGAAACATGCTTTGTTTCTTTTGCAAAAAAAACAAAAGCACAGTAAATCAAACTTTGTTCCCAAGTTGGCTTCCCGTTTCCGACTCCAAAACCTCGGCAAGCTGTCGCTCCTCTCGATCTCAAGGCGGAGGTGCTGGGTTCGCTCCTCGCGCCCGCGCTCTTAGGAACCCCTGCTTGATTTTGAGAGATGGGGGCTGTCCCCCTGTGGGGATTCAGGCCACTCAGTACATGCCAAAGGGAAGCCAGCCAAAGAAGGCCGCTCATTCTAAAACCCGTCTGACCCCCTTTAAAAACAGGATGCCACTTGAATTGGTCGAACGCGTGTAGACCGTAGGACAAAATGTCATTTTTCTAGGCAGCCCTGTCAGGGGAACTCGAGCCCTGTCAGGGGAAACAACGATTGTCACTTTTTCAGGCGCGGTTTATCATTACTTTTTAGGGTCAGCTTCCTCTTGTTGACGTGATGTTGCACAAGGGCCCTCTAAAAGTATTTGTCACCTTTCGAGCTGCCAAGCAACGTATGGGGTATAGTTTGGGCACCTAGCAAAGGGCGTAGCTACCCAGGAAAGGCGGTTGCTCAACCGAAGTGGTTGGGTATCTAGCACCCAAATGCTTGGGGCCATTTTTCACGAGGAGAAAAGGGCATCCCGCCAGTATAAGCCGTCCCTGGAAGAGGGCTTGTTCCGAGCTCCCTAAATTCCCTGTCAGAATCATTTTTGTGGCCCGAAAGGTGATGTTTAGGACCACCCAAGAATGTCTTTTTTAGGGGGACCACCCAAATGATGGTTTCCCTCTTTGTTTTCCTATAAAACGCCAGCAAAAAAAGAAAAAGAAAACAAGGACCCACAAAAACCCCTCTTGTTGCTAGCAACCAAAGTCTGGGCCGGGAACAGTCCAACTGCTCCTCCCTCTGACGCTCGAAGTCCGCATGCAGCTGCCGCAACTTTTCCTGGTGGTCTCACGTCGACTTCGGTCACCGAAACACCGGCAGGTGATGGCAAATAGCATCCGGGTATGACCATAGGCCTCCTTTTCAGGGAAATAGATGGCCCTGGCAGATGATTAAACCACCAGGTAAACCAGGGCCATCCATTTTTCGACCAAAGCAACCAAAAAGGACGCCCATGGGCATGACGCTAGAAGTCCAGGCACTCAGGTGATTTGGAACCGTGGTGGACATCATGTCGGTGAGACTTCACGCCCAGCAAGCTTCTCAGGTGGCTCTCTATTGAAACAACAAATAAATGTGCCATGTCAAAGGCTGATTGCATATGTCCATGTGGGCCCACGGCCATGTTGGACCCTTTGAAGGCTTACTTCGCACAATTCATCCATAGTTGACACATCACAAACCGATAGACTAGGGGTCATACCAGTTCACATGGACAAATGTATATCAATAATTATATACATATATGTTTATATTTGTGTGTATGTGTGTCAATCCATTTAGATACATATATATATATGGTCACCCCCCCCTGCATGACCTACCGTTGTCTTTCAAAAAGTCGTTGGGGACCATTAGCAGACAATAAAAAAGTGAAAAAAACACCTGTTTTTTATGGTTTTCGATTAAAAAACAACACAGTCAACCATTGAAAAATTAAGAAAAAAACAGTGTGTTTTGATGGTTTTAGCAAAAACATGTGCAAAAACCATGGTTTTTTTTAGAAAAACAGGAAAGCAACAAGTGTAAAAACTGATATGTTTTTCAGATAGATCCCTAAGTCAAAAACTAAGAATTCCCTGGGTTTTTGATGGTTTTGCAGTAAAACCTTCAGAATTCCTTGGGTTTTTAGCATTTTTCACATAAAACCAAGAAAACCTCGAGAAAACCAAGAATCCAAGAATCCAAGATTTTCAGGTAGATGTTTGGTCCACTACAAAATCTTGGATTCTTGGTTTTCTCGAGGTTTTCTTGGTTTTCTTGGTTTTACTTGGGAATTCTTGGATTTCCAGCAAAAAACCAAGAATTACTAGGGTTTTTTTGGATTTCCAGCAAAAAACCAAGAAAACCTCGAGAAAACCAAGAATCCAAGAATCCAAGATTTTCAGGTAGATGTTTGGTCCACTACAAAATCTTGGATTCTTGGTTTTCTCGAGGTTTTCTTGGTTTTCCTGGTTTTACTTGGGAATTCTTGGGTTTCCAGCAAAAAACCAAGAATTACTAGGTTTTTTTTGGATTTCCAGCAAAAAACCAAGATTTACTAGGGTTTGTTTGGATTTCCAGCAAAAAACCAAGAATTACTAGGGTTTTTTTGGATTTCCAGCAAAAAACCAAGATTTACTAGGGTTTTTTTGGTTTTCCAGCAAAAAACCAAGAATTCCCAAGTAAAACAAGGAAAACCAAGAAAACCTCGAGAAAACCAAGAATCCAAGATTTTGTCGTGGGCCAGACATCTACATGAAAATCTTGGATTCTTGGATTCTTGGTGTTCTCGAGGTTTTCTTGGTTTTCTTGATTTTACTTGGGAATTCTTGGATTTCCAGCAAAAAACCAAGAATTGCTAGGGTGTTTTTGGATTTCCAGCAAAAACACAAGATTTACTAGGGTTTTTTTTCTCCAGCAAAAAACCAAGAATTCCCAAGTAAAACAAGGAAAACCAAGAAAACCTCGAGAAAACCAAGAATCCAAGATTTTGTCGTGGGCCAGACATCTAAAACAACAGAAATACCAGCACCAACTGAAGACGAAGAAGAACCACAAAAAGATAATTTTGAAGAATTAAAATCTTAATAATATCATATATAATGGGTATTGGTAAAAGTAAAAATAATGAAAATAATAGTTTGGAAGACATTAAGAATTTGAGTATAGATGAAAAAACACGAGCAGACACTTTAATTATTAAATCTCTTCAAGAATGTGTGACACGAATTGAGAAACTAGAGAAAGAAAAATCTGACAAATTAATATATAAACTTCCTGCCTTACAATTTTGCAATGCTTCGTTAATTTAAATTAATAATATTAACATATAATAATATTATTAATTGCTATCATAATCTGTCATTTTATCCTCTGGTATTGTTGTTGAAGTAGTACTACTTATATCATCTATTAAATCTTCATCAACAAAATTATTTTGAAATCTTAATAATTCCTCGTCTGGTGCCCTTCTTTTCAATACTATATAAAGTTTATGTATCCAAGAATTAGTATGAAAAATACAATTACCTCTACGATAAAATCCGCCACATCTACATAGTTTCATTGGCATATTACTATATTATATTAAATTAGAATATCTTTATTCATCATTCGTAATTTGAAATGCCTGTTCAAATCTGATATGAAACATTTTGTTAATGTCTTTAGCATTCATATTCACGTAGAAGAAACTATAAGGTGCGTCATTAACGGCTTGATGATACATATCTAATAATTGCTGTTTATCAACAATGGCGCTATTTTCTTCAATAAAACTCATTAACTCACTTGCATTTTTCAACCTAATGAACTGGCATTTAAACGAATGATAGGCACTAAAACATTATATTTTTGTGTTGAACAAATTACACTTACTGCATCGTGCCTGCCTCTTGTAAAAAGTCCGTGTAATAATTTACTATATCTAACAAATTTAGGATCGTCTGCGTGGTCATCTACAACGATTAATATTGAATGCGTGGTCATCTATAACGATTAATATTGAATGTAGTGTCTTATCTTTTTAGACTTCATATAATTAATTATTTTCTTCTGTCTTTCAATTACATTTTCTAAATCACTTGGATTATAATTATCAAAATAAATTTGTTCTTTTTCATCGTCCACGTGCAATTCATCCCTGATGTATTTTTTAACTTCTGTAAAAGTTGGGTCATTATGAACGCTGGGGGAAAATATAAATAGTCTTGCAAATGAATTTCTATAAACATTGTTTGAATTCATATTCAGTTATGTTTATTGGTTTTATTATTGGGACATCTGTCATAGTTGATATTAAAGAAATATAGAAAATTATATTTAAAAATTAACTTGTCATTAATATTAAATGGAACATCATTATGTTATGAGTGGCGGTGAATAACATAATGGAACAGGTTTTCCATTGCTTCAATCAATAAGCATTGAAGATAATTAGTTTTGTGTTTTGCTCGCGTGTGCAATGAAAACCAAGTGCTGTGCCCCACCAATAGCGATGAAGGGAGGGGCAAATGATAGATGAGATCCTGTGTTTTTTAGCTAAAAAGGTAGGTCATGCAGGGGGGGGTGAGCATATATATATATATATAAATAGGTTAAATTTATATTCAGCCTATGATCAAAAGGGTCGCGCAAGTGCTTGCATCATGGCCTGGTGCTCTCGTTCAAGTCGCTGCAGGCTCTCCTGGTGGTCTGCCTGCAAGGGACAAGGGCAACCCACCCCACCTCGGCGATTGCCTTCCAGGCAGAAAAAACATACTGTGGTTGGGAAATCCGCTTCTCGCAACTAGGTCCTCCAGATTTGAGAGGTTCGAATAAGGGTACCTTTTTTTTCTTTTCTGTAGTCTACTTTAGTAGGGGAACCCTCCCCAAAAAAAGGGGCAAAAGGGCGATTTCCTGCAAATGCCAACAAGCAACGGTTTCCCATGGTTTTAAAGTGGTGCTGGATTTCGTCCATCCACAGCATTGATAATTCTGGTCCATGTGTAGCGAATGAGTTGAATAACAAATACTGTCAAAAAGAGACCCACCCCGCATTGAAAGTTGCAAAGCATGTACCGCCCTCCCGTGTACATTTGCTTCAGCTATTTCAGAGAAGGCGGACAGAAAGCAATCGCCGTTTGCCAGAAGATGCGGCCTAGGCCTTTGTTCCTGGTTTTGCCTAGCAACCCCAGACGTTCCCAAAATTTAGGAAACATCCAAATCGCGCTGAAATGTATCGATCTATATCGTTGTGACTTACCTGGAAGACGGCAAAAGTACGCAGCATGGACAATTACCCAAAAGGCTAAAACTCACGCATCAACTCATCGCTCCAGAAATCAGTTGTTATGGCCATGCACCAACTGCAAAACATCCAACCTCTGAATTAAGGAACGTAGCTGTTGGTCTATATAAAACATAGTGGTGTGACTCGAAGGCCTGCAGGACTGCTTTGTACTGGGTGTACGTTGTCCCGTGCACATGAAACCTATTGCAGCCTATTGCAGCAACCCTGCTATAGCCTGAGAATAGGCTTTGGACGAACCACCAAGGATAAGGTGAGGGGTCTTGGGACCACGGGCAGCCAATGCCCAGGCCCAACTGATATGGGATTTGGCATTTCCTCATAGACTCTGCAGCGCATGTCTCTTAAACTGCCCAACCCCGCCCTGCTCCATCTCAGCGAAAGCCCTGAAAATTGAACCAACATGATTCTCGTTTGCCTTGGGTGCTTGGCCAAGCTAGTATGTCGACAATCTGATAGCAGGCAATATCCCTCAATGGTTGGTCATTACCCGAAAGAAATCAAGAGACTCTACACGCGGAATATAACGACCCTTGCTCATCGAGACGCCTCCATCTTTCCCCTCTGGGCTTCGAAGACGCTGGTCTTGCCCTCGATTCCGAAAGCTTGCCATCGAGTTCCGAAAAATGTTGTGCTGGTGTGTGGGCTAAGCACCGCAAACATGCCGGGGGGGCGGGGGAGGGGGAAACACCGCAAACAGGATACAACTGGCAGGATCGACTTTCTGGCTAGATCATGGAGCAAAAAGCGGAGGCAACCCGAACAAACAACTTCGAGGCTAAGCAGAGGAACACTTGGAGATCCAAATGGACCGCTTGCCAAGCGCAAGGTTCAGTTGGCGTCACAGAGGCGAGAAAAGCGCACTTGCAGCCTAAAAACCTGAACCCATTTGCCCACTACGTCCCACTACAAGAAGCAGGGATTCAAGTCCCAAATCATCTGAGACATGGTGGCTAACCTAAAAAACATACATGGAACCGCAGAAACACCCCTCTCCAAACGTTGGTGAAGCCTCCTATGCTGGGCGACCATCCCCAGGGTAGAGGAACCTGCTGCACAAGCAACGGCTCGCCCGCAAGCAAGGATAATGTTTCGCACTCGACGAGCTCTACTTCTTCATTGAAATGCGTCCATTTGCTTAAGCCGCTGTAGCCCCTGAAGCAAATATGTCCAGTAGTGGTAGATTCCCAACAGGGGAAAATCAAGAACATATTCATTTCAACAAGTGGAAGAATGGTTCTGCCGGCCCGCATGGTCTTCCAAGGCTGTCCTTCCTGCGATTCTGCTGCTAGATACTTCATCCACCGTTCACTTGCTTTAATCAGATAGGAATGAGGGAATGAACTTGGATTCCCAAAAAGGAAGCCACAAGGGATGGTTTATACTGATCATTCCCTCATTCCCCTGAGCATCGAGAAGCCACGACCGATCGCAACATGTTTCCATCGGTTCCATTAAGCAGAACTCGGATGCCTCCCTTCTCACCTTCGGCTTAGCATATGATGCCGGGAGGCCGCACCCCAAAGTGAACGAGACGCATACCAACTGCAAAAAAGGAATCTCCTTGAAGGCCCTGCCTCCCACCATTCATCCATACTTGACAGTTAACCAATAGGGGGTGATATCAGCGAGTCTAAACTTTTGATTACCAACATTGTCTAAACCCAAAACAGGAGCTCAGGGACTCAGGAGTGGCTGTGGCTCAAAACAGTGCATACATCACGCCTCAGTCAAAACCAAAGACTCAAACCTGCGTAGCCCCAGCTCCCAATATGGGCTTGAGCAGAAAGACAAGCCCCCAAAAAATAGGCCGGCGCTTTCTGGGCCTCTTGGCTTTCCCTTCAAAGTGCCCTGAAAGGCCGCCAGCCAAAGCGTAAGGCCGGGTGAGAAAGAGACGGCAAATCAACTAAGCCAAAGTTGACCGTTCACCCCCCCCTCCCTCGTCAAAAAAAAAGAAGCTGCCACAAAAAACATAATGCCATTTTTGATAGTTCATAAACAAAAAAAAACTACCACGTCATACCAGGAGCTCTGGGATACCAGCAGCTCAGGGACTGAGTGTCAGACCAGGAGCCAGGGACTGAGAGGTATAGGTTCTCCAGCAGAGGGCATAGAATAAGGGTACCAACTTTTGTCTGTAGTTTATTGTACCCTCTCAACCAAAAAAGGAACGGTAGAAAGGGTGCTGGGGGACCTAGACAACCACACATGCAGGTTTCCTTCTTGGAACCAACCCCAACCAAAAGAAGAGTTCCCGTCAACGAGATGCTCTCGAAGAACTGCAGCAGGTTGTGCTGCTTCACCAACAAAACTTGGCTGCTTTCTGCTCCCCTGCTAAAAGTCTACCTTTTAGTGGTTTAATACGGAAAACCCATTAGTTGGCAAAAAGCTAAAGTCCTACCAGCCAAGCAAAATGCACCAAAGAAAAATCAAATCCCCCGGCCTTTCCAACAAAAAAAAGTCGGGACCCCCGGCGGAGGCCGCCGAGGTCGCTGAGGCGGCGCTGGGAGAGGCGCCCGGGGCGCTGGGCCCCGGCGATGCCGAAGGGGCGGAAGGCGAAGGCGAAGGCTCCGCCTTGGCCTGGCAGCGCGGGAAGGACATGGCGCGTGTTACGTCATGGATAACATGGACTCCTATGGTTTCCTATGGTTTCCTATGGTCTCCTATGATCTATAGTTTCCTATGGTTTCCTATAGTTTCCTACGGTTTCCTAGGGTTTCCTATGGTTCTCCATGGTTTTCTATGGTTTTCATGAAAAACGTCAGATAGGTTTCCTATGGTAAGAGTTCCCCCTGGCCTCCTTTTTGTACAGGATGGATGACTCCTTTGGGCTACGAAACCCTGAAAGATGACTCCTCTTAAAATACCAAACAAACAATAATGGCTGCAAACACGGTTTCGATATGGTACAGGAATTTCTGGGGTAGCCCCACTTTTTGTACAGGGGTCACTGGATTTCCCTTCCCCAAGTTGCGACTTTGTTTGTTGGGTTCCGCCAAAACCCTGGGTGTTGACATGATCCTTACGTAAGTAATGGCGGTTATATTAACCCAACGATATAGATTGAGATGGTGGCAACTGAACCCCTTCGCAAGTTGAAACCGTGGGAATCCAGTGTTGGCTGGTATTTACAGGGGAAGCATCATTTCAGGGTTTCTTAGCTGGTGCGAAATGGATTTCGTCCATCCACTATGGCCTCACTTTTTGAACAGGGGTCACTGGATTTCCCGTCCAAGAGTTGTTGTTTTTGGTGGGTTCCACTAAACCTGCCACACTTTTGAAGGCTCAGAAAGAGGAAATGGATTGAGGTCCCAGTTTTCCAACTATCAAAGTCAGCCAAAGTTGTGTTTAAAGGGAAGTACACCCCCCCCCCCCCCGGTTTCTGACTTCGACGCGGACGGTGAAAATCATGAGCCATGTTCATTTTTGGCATAGACTCCTGGCGGGGAGAAGGGTGTGAACATCAAGCCTTGCGGGGGTCATTTACGAATAGAATTCCAAGGCCCAAGCCCCCCGTCCCCCAACTGCACGGCGGCCAAGACCAATCCACGTTTGGAACCGACATGGCGATCAAGTTTACGTGGGCCTTACTAAAAGCCCTACGGACCCGTCAGCACAACCACCCACTCAAATGGCCAAAGGGGGGCGTCAAGACCGCCTTCGGCTTGCAGTCGAAGACCAGCCTCGGTTCGCTTTCCCTGGCCCCGACCGCGAAAGAGTGAGCAGTGAGATGTTAGAATAAGTTGGTGTAGAAACTATTTTAGTAGGAGAACCGAATCTCCCAACCCAAAAAGGGGGTAAAAGGGCACTGGGGGACCGAGTTATGCTTCCCTTGGAACATTATTCAGATAGCCTCTGATTGATCAGCTGGGCTTCTTGCTCTTGTGTGTTTGTGGGGCTTTTGTGAATGCTGACGTTGGACCACCACCAGTCACATATGATGATCGCAGACTCAAAGAACGAATCTAAAGGGGTACTGACAATCTACATGCCAATTATAAGATTAGGAAAGGCATGTCAGGTGCGTGAGAGAGAGGAAAGACCATGAGATGAGACCAAAGGAAAGGAAAGGGTCTCATCACTATCTTTTAACCAGTCCTCCGCTCCAGCTTCCCTTCCGGTCAATTGTCGACAAGTGAGTGCCCATTGCTTACCTGGATAATTGTTCTATAGTTCATCGATCACAAAACAAAGAATCCTCAGGCAAACTATCTGTTGGTAAGCTCGCCTTAGCCCCGAATCGGTGGGCTCGCCCTATGCTCCACCTCTCTGCACCCAAAGCCGACTTGCGTGGATTGGCCAAAACAAGCCCCCACTTTATTCACAGCTTTTCGTGGCAACAGCAAATGAGTAAGTTAGCAAAACGGCCAAAACACAAGCCACCCACCTCGGTTGCTTTCTCCTCCCCTGCTAAAAGTTTAACTTTTAGTGGTATAATGGAATACTCATTTGTTGGCAAACCGTTGAAGTCCTAACATCCAAGCAAAATGCACCGACAATCCCATCCGCCCAGTGGTTTAATGGAAAAACCAAATTGTTGGCAATAAGTTAAAGTCCTATCCAAGCAAAATGCACCAAAGCAAATGGCCCAAAACACAACCCACCCACGCAGCTTTCTGGCAAAGAAAGTAAGCAAACTGGCCAATGAAAAACGACCCCCCCCACCCAGGGGCTGGTTTCTTGCTCGCCGCCCGGCGGCTTGTTCTTGCTGGGCTTCCCGAAGAGCGACTCCCCGGGCTTCGGCAGATCCATCTTCGGCATGTCCAGCTCACCGCCTCGGCGTTCCGTTCCGACCATCAACGCAACAATCCAACCTTCAACGCAACAATCCAACCCACCGAGTGGAGCTGTTCATTTCGGCTTGCATAACAAAACTCGACTTTTTCGCTGGGCAGTGGGGACACATACCCGTTCCCCAAGAGTTGCAGGTGAAAGACTCAACTTACCCAACAGCAGGGAAGCTAGCGGCTAGTGACTGAACCTCTGAGGCCAGCAGGTTAAGTAGCTCATGGCCTCGCTTTTCTGGAGTAGCCACTGTGTAGCCATACTGTGGATGGACGAAAACCATTTCGCACCACCTCAATGATGAAACCCTAGGATGATTCCCCTGTAAATACCATCAAACAATGGTTCCCCCATGGTTTCGAAGGTGCAGGATTTCGTCCATGCACAGTATGGGGGCGTTCTCAAATTGGCGGTCCCCTGAAACGATTGCTTGACAACCACCCCCCTAAAGATACGACCATATCCAACCCGGATGGGGGGGGGGAACAACCCAGTTGAGTCATAACCGAAGCCTGGTGACCAAGGACTCTACTGAAAAACGATTGCTTGCTTGATTGGTTGGTTGATTGATTGATTGGTTGGTTGGTTGGTTGATTGATTAGTTGGTTGATTGATTGGTTTGTTGGTTGGTTGGTTGGTTGGTTGGTTGATCGAGTGATCGAGAGATTGATTGATTGATTGATTGATTGATTGATTGATTGATTGATTGATTGATTGATTGATTGATTGATTGATTGATTGATTGATTGATTGATTGATTGATTGATTGATTGAATTGAGTGATTGAGTGATTGAGTGATTGAGTGATTGAGTGATTGAGTGATTGAGTGATTGAGTGATTGATTCATTGATTCATTGATTCATTGATTCATTGATTCATTGATTCATTGATTCATTCATTTATTCATTCATTGATTTATTGATTCATTGACTCATTGATTCATTGACTCATTGATTCATTGATTCATTGATTCATTGATTCATTGATTCATTGATTCATTGATTCATTGATTCATTGATTCATTGATTCATTGATTCATTGATTCATTGATTCATTGATTCATTGATTCATTGATTCATTGATTCATTGATTCATTGATTCATTCATTCATTCATTCATTCATTCATTCATTCATTCATTCATTCATTCATTCATTCATTCATTCATTCATTCATTCATTCATTCATTCATTTACTGATAGATGAATTGCTTGATCCTGGGTTCCCATTCTGACCTGTTGAGCGGATTGTTCATGGTGCGGAATGCGTTGGGCACGTGTTTGGTGATAACGCTGACCACATCTGAATAAACCCCAGTGTATTAATGGGGTGGGGGCCCCTACTAAACCCAAGTTGACACCCCCTATTAAGGAACTGGGGTTGAGTAACATGGGGTCAGCATCAAGGGGTTCCAATGAACCATCGCGGAAAGTGCCTCAAAACCCCAGTTTCCCTCGTGAGCTCGACGCTTTGACCAAATCCTCGTAAGTAGTTTCAATTCGCTTCGGGAAATAGCCCAGCCAATTGAACAAAGTTGCCTCCCCAGAACCCAGGTCTTTCGTGGTCACTTTCCGCAGTCTTGCAGTCAAGCAGCTTAGCCCCAGCATGTCGCCGGAGCCGCTTTTGCGCGCCTTCTTGTCCTTCTTGTCTTTCTTGTCCTTCCTGAGTGGCGCGGGGCAAGATTTGCAGACCGCGAACCGGCAAGCCTTGCCGATCCTAGCGCATTCCTTGCGAGTTGGCAAGCATGAGGGACAGCAACACCTGGTTTGCAGAACTCCTGGCAGCTCCTCAGCTCCCTCTTTAAAAGGTAAGCTCAAATGACCCTCCCGTCCACGTTCCCATGGAACCCACCAGAAACTGGGCCCTTGTTAGAGGAAACTGGTCTTCCAGGCCCCCTGTCAGGTTCCATGATTGTGGAGGGGAGGGTCATTTGAGCTTCTTCGCTCGCTTTTAACAAGCTAACATAGAGAGGCGGGAACGAAAGGAGCAGCCGCCATGTGAAGCTTCGGCCATGTGGGAAACAAAAGTCCCTCGGTCCCTCTCGTTTGTTTGCTCTTCACATGGCTCATGGCTTCACTCTGGTTGCGCCTCCAGCAAAACAAGTTGACTTTTCACTTCAGTTAGCTTTTTCTTCCATTTGGTGAAGACTCCCGGACAAAAATAAACATTTTTCCAGCAGTGATAGGTTCCCTTTAAAACCAACAAAGGACAATAAAACATATTCTTAAGCAAATATAAGTTTTGCGTTGTGGCCTTGGCTGCTTGGATTGGTGGTTGGGCTGGTTCCCAGTGACCCTCTGCAGAAACCAGGGGTTCACCCAAGAAACTTCGTAAAGCCAAGGGCATCAAAGCGTCTTCTTGTCGTCACCGGCCGGCGCCTTGTCGCCGTCCTTTTTGGCCTGGCGATGCACAGCGCAGCTCATTTCAAGCAGGTGGGGCTGCTCATCTTCTCTGCATCTGACAAGTAACCCCCAAGCACCATCTACTTCTTTGACAAGGGAAAATGTGTTGGACAAAGCACCGGAGGGCGCAACAGCATCGCACTCGGGTTGCTAGGAATGGTTGTTTGGGGCATCTCCTTGCTCTGGCAATATCAGTCTGTGTGGGCCTAGTAGTTTCCATTGGCCCCTCTGTTGCACATTGCACAAGGCTTCCTGAACGGATAGGCCGAAACAAAAGAACATGAACTTGTTGCGTGCCTTCCAAAGGAGTTTGCAGTCCAGGAGCTTGGAAAGGAAGCATACCGGCCCGACTTGCACGAGCGTCCCGAATCAGTCTGCACGAAACGCAGAAATCTGTGCCGCTTCCGAATCCAGTCTGCCAGGGAAGCAGACAGAATGGGATGTGCTGCTGTAAGTTTGTTCGGCTCAATCAACATGGGCCATCGAAAGACGTTGCAAAAGGCACCCACAACGGTGAATCCTAAAACGAATGGTACGCGTGAAACAGGGCATACCCCAAAACACCCCCCTAGAAAAGACTAAAGGTGACCAAGACTAGAGCGTTGGGAACAAACCTTCGCCCTGGCCGAACAAGCCTTGTATTTCTCGTAGACCTTGCGGTAGTGCTCATCGCAGGGATGGTCCCAAACACTTTCGCCTGGGACAAAAGGCTGGGACCAGGCCTTGTTGGAAGTTGGCTTGGGCGAATTGGCGCGTGCCGCAGGGTATGCATGAATGTGTGGGTATGGATATATGTCGGCTCTGTACTAATATGCAAGTTTGCATTGACGGATTGCAGGCTAAATACATGTGTGGATGCATGAAGGCATGAAGGCATGAATGCAAGCAAGCATGTTTGTGTGTGTGAATGCATGTATGCAGCAATGCGCCCATGCCTCGCGGGTGCCGTTGTTTAGGTACATGTGCACCCATACATAGGTTCAGGCTCACCCCGGGTAGGTGCCGACTCAACTTATGAGCCTTTGGTGTGGCTCTTCTAGCTTCCTTGTATGTCCCCTGTACGCACCACCATTCAAAGGACAGCCTGGCCACAACCGGGTGATGTTTCAGTGCCCACCGTGCCCCACCCCAAAATAGGGGAACCCGACCGACCCTGGTAAAATGATACATGAAAGGGGCGGAAGGCTTCCCCTTAATTACAATCAAACCGGAGTTTGACTTAAACTTCCTTCTGGTGAAGACCCCAGCAAAGAATATACAAATATTTCCAGTAGTGAGATTCCCTTTAAAGCCAACAGGGGAAAATAAAACACATTCTTAAGCAAATGGAAGTTTATTGCATCGCGGCAACCACCCCACAGGAGGTCGGCTGCGCAAGCTTCCAGCAATGCCAAACTAGCCAGTGGCCACGGAAGGAAATGACACTTGTAAGTTAAATTCAGGGTAAGTGGGTCTAATTTCAAAGCATTTGGGCCCCTCCGGTCCCTCCCTGTAAAGGTGAAGCCTTACCTCGAAATTGGCCTCAAATACCTCTAATTTAACTTTTGTTTGGGAGCTTGAATTTTAAGGGAGGCTGGATCCCACAAAAAGGAACAAAGGGCAACACTGAACAAGATGGCGCAAGAGAAGCGGAGACACTGATCGAAGGCGGCTTCACTTCTTCCATGTGAAATGGTACATTCACACTCATGACAATGTAACAAGGATATTGCTGACGCATATCTCGGTAGAATATGGAAAACCCGGGGGAGCTCTGATGGTACTCTCGTGGAAAATGGTACGTTCACACTCATGGCAATGGAAGACAGGGGGAGCTCTGATGGTTCTCTCGCGGAAAATGGTACATTCACACTCATGGCAATGGAAGACAGGGGGAATTCTGATGGTCCTCTCGTGGAAAGCCACGGCGAAAAACAGGTACCGTAGTTCTCAGGCTTACCTTGGAATTTTTTTGACCCCAGGCCTGTCTCGAAATTGAAGTAGAAGATCTCCCCGTCTTCCGACTCGCATGGCTTCCAAGGGGCTGGAAGCCTCATGTCGATCCGATCAGGCGGTTTGCTACGGGGAGGGGTGGCTCATGCTTCAAAGTTAGGTACTGCGCCCGAAAGCAGAGAAACCGGCCGAAGAAAGTTGTCCCTTGCGCATGGCCTTCTTTCAGTCGCTCCTAACCACTTTTGGCAAGATAGCTGAAACCGGCTGAAACAATCTATTTAAGATCTATGTTCCTGGCTTGGTGAGTTTCTGACTTCCTGGCTCGGTGATTTTCGTGTCCCTGCTATATTCCTGGCTCCGTTTGTGTTGATCGCGACGCGTGGATCTCCATTCTCGAGACCAACTTTTGGCGAGGCGTGACTCAAGTTCCAGGGTAGACCATTGGCCCGTGGACAAGGCATGCGCCTGTCCGACTTGTAGTTGGGTCACACCCGTTCTCCGCGGTGATTGTTCTCTAGGGCAAGTGGGATCCATCAGTGGCCAAGGCTTTTTTTGGGTTTTCCACTTTCCACTTGAACAGTACCCTCACAATGGGTAGGGGTCCTTCAAAAAGGTCATGTCAATGTGGCAAATGGCCAAAGCGAGTATCTGTTAAGGAGCCCTGTAATCTCCGTCCACTCCGGGCAAAAAACATGGAGAACGCCCGACACGCAATCTCCTTTTTGCCCACATTTCGGGGGTAGGTCTGTGAATGCCTTTGACATTGACACCATTGTTCTGAAAGGGTTTCCAACCAGATCCAAAGACTGACTCCCATGCCATGACAGGAAACATCATAAAACACCTTCATTGGACACCGGGAAACACAACACGGAAAGCGATTCTCACCATTCTGTCTAGTGCAAGAGGCTAAATAAGTAGACACCTTAGCTTCTTGCGACCCTGACTTACGTTTGTTTTCAAGTGTCCACAACCGATCCTACACCCTCCCACCAATTAACATGCAGCCTCACGTTCCGGGGGTCCTGGTTTGGACCATGGACCCGCTGTCAGGTTCCATGTCTAGGTCCTCCAGTCGAGAGGTTAGAATAGGGGTACCAACTTTTTCCTGTAGTTTATTTTAGTAGGGGATCCCTCCCCCAAGAAAGGGGAGAGAAGGGCACTACTGGGTGACCTAGCCAACAAAGAAGGTGGAATCTACTTGGAAACTGGGCAACTGGGCTGGGTAAAGGGCGGGGCGGCAGTGGTCCGTCGGACCACCTACAGGCTCGCCTAAAACGGGACTTCGGACCTGCAAGGGCTGCAAGGGCAGGGAAACTGCTGGGGGACCTAGATGTGAAAAGGGGAGGGTACAGCACCCAGCTTTTGGACATCTGGCTGTGGCTCAAAAAACCGGAATTCTAAAATGGGTTGCCCTGGTAAGTGGAAACATGGACCAAACCTGCGGTTTGCCCCTCCGATCGTTTAATTTTGAGCCACAGCCATCTAGGACCGATTTCTCCTTCCCAAGTCAAGAGGCGGTGCTTTCAGTCCGGCCCGGGCGATCCAGAAGAGGTCCCGGTCCTTGTCCAGGTCCTCAGCGGCCGAAGAAAAACTCGCCCGGGTTGAAGGGGTCAGAAACTGCCAGGTGAATTCAGAGCTTAGAGTTGGGAAAATTGGGAGCTCAAGTAGGGCCCCAGAATAGAGCCGGCCCTGTTGGGTCCCTTTGCGGGGAGCCGCAGGCGATTTACCCGGTCCACTCTCGCGAGGCAATTGGCGTAATGCATCACCGAGAGGCCATGCCTAGCCATTCGGCATACTCTTCCACCTGACAGCAATGGAGATACATAGGTGTGTCTCGACTGGACAGAGGGGGGCCCCAAACTGCCGGTTTTCCTTCTGGGCAGAGGTTTTCCTCCAGCTCCTGCTGCCCCTAACATGCACCTCTACCTTCAGAGGGGGAGGGGTGTCACCTGTGAGGGGTCAAGAGGTCCATCTCTCCAACCTTCCCAACTGCAAATGCCCCTCCCCATTGACACTTGTCAGAGGGAGAGGGTCCCTTTTCAATTGCCTATGCTGATTGACCATAAGCAACATATTGGCCCATCACCAGCCAAACGATTCGACATGACGATTCCCAGAACCTATAACACAAGTCAAAAGCAAGCCAATGACCCCCCCTGTCGATTTTCCAGTGGCCATATGCCAGCTGGAACCCTTGTTCGACCGTTGAAACAATAAGACAACCACGCACCACTGGAGATCAACGCTGGCGCCGTGGGGCAAAAGCTTTGCCACAGTGATCTGACGCTGTTCGAGCCTCCTTGTCGGTGGGCTGGTAGTCAGGATCGATGTGCTCATCCAGCATGCTTCCTGCTCCTTTCACGCCGCCTGCTTGCGGTGAGAAAACCGCCAAACAAACACGCCTCAGAAGCCATGCGGCCCAGTGGCCCAGTGACCCTAGTTTAAAAACAAAAGCACAAAAACACTCACACAGACACACAAAGACGGTTTGGGGCCGACAATTCTTGGGCAAAATGGTGCCACTGAACAACTTCAAAGTGATCTGTGCCGCGTCTAGGGGAATCGTGACCCCTCAGACCGGGTTGCTCAAAATGGGGTGATCCTCACTTCCCGAGTGGATTGGGCAAATAAAAGAGGTGAACCTGTTATGTACCATTTAAAAGGCAAACTTCCGCGCACAAGGGGACTGGCCAAAAAGGTCCTGGAACATTCTGCGGACACACTAAAATGGCAACCAAACCCTTGTTATGTACCACTAAAATGGCAACCAAACCCAAAAAGTGGAAAGTCCAGGATTTCAAGAAGTGAGCCAATCCTACTCTACCACCTGAGTGAGGATGGCAGAATGGTTTCCGTAATCCTCAAGGCCATGCCAAATATGGCAAGCGCTTAGGGCTGGCCAAACAGGAGCCCCCCGATTTTCGAGCAGCCCAAACATCTGCGAGGCGATGCCAAGTGGTTCATGCTTGCCTTGCTCATAGCGTTTGACGCCACTGAACACGTGAGCCAGATCCCCTGCCCAATACTCACGCGAGTCAGCAAAAAAAGGCCTGGGAACAGGTGATCAGCTTCCAGAACTTTGACAACTTGTTCGATGAAGCCGGAAACCCAGAAGGTGAAAAGATCGGATTTGGACAACTTGGTATCCATGAATGACGCATAATGTTCAGCACGTGTCCCTTGTGGCTTCAAACACGGCACCCAAAATGGCCCCTTGGCAAATAAAAACAAATACTCCAGCCTGTGCAACCTGAGCCCTTCAGATTTAAGCCACACCCATGTCCTATTGTCTTTGCGAGTGCGCAACGTCGTCCCCTTCTTTGCGATTGACGAAATTGAACATTGACAGCTGCTCAAAAGAGCACATGGCGCCGGCCAACCGAATCCACGCTGTTTGTTGAACACAGGAGCCGCTCGGGAAGACACACGTTTACTGGAAGCGACATGCGAACCCTCGGTTGCCGCAAAGGGCCAAGAAATAAAAGTTTACCCTCCCACCAACAAACATGGAAGTGCAAAAAGGCCCTTTCCAAGAGGAAAGTAGTCTTTCTGCAGGGGTCCGAAGGCATTTCCATGTTTGCTGGTGGGAGGGTAACCTTTCAGGGTCATGACTAGAATTGGACCAAACAGGGGCAGCGGCAAGTGAGAACCATAAACTTTGAGACTGGTGATTCTGTGTCTTCCCATGCGGTAGACAAAGGTACATTGTTTGTTGGGCGACCTGTGGTTGTTTGCCAATGATGTCACATGCACGTCGCTGCAGCGATACACGGGAGAGCAAAAGCTCACACAGACACACACACACACACACACACAGAGTGCCACTGTATGCGATATGTATATGTGCAGATGTGCACCTGATGCACCTCACTTGTTGAGGCACACACCTCAGTGGGCGCACAAGAACTTTCCCTTAACATGACAATCGAGCAGGCAGCCAAGACGCAGCAGGCACTTTGTCCTATTGCTTGCAAATCGAGATATCCGCTGATATCCGTAATTTCGCTGAGTGGGTCAAAAGTCACGCAAATAGGCCCAACCCTCGCCACATCAACAACAGGACACACCCTGGGTGCCCCCCCCCCAAAAAGAAAGAAAGAAAAGAAACCAGCAGAGCGAGCAACAACCAAAGAAACAAGCTGATATCTTTACAGTCAGCTGTTATGGCATGTTTTGCCAACTAAAAATGAAGGGAATTTGCCTATACCATCAAGCAACCCAATTTGACAGCCCCAAGCTGCAAAGGCAAAAGTTGAGCAAACGCTCGGATGCGATTTCTGCTTTTTCCCCTGCAGAGAAGTGACTCACTTTTAGTGGTTTACGGAAAACATCCATTGATTAGTTGGCAAAAAGTTGTTCAGTCCTAACATCCCTTGGCAAAATGCAACAAAGAACAGCTGGCAAAGGTCCGAAGGGTGCAACCAATCAAAAGAGAGGCCGAAGTGGGGTTCATTATGCCTGGCCAGCCTGCATCTACCCGGGTGTTGATTGTGGCTCACCTATGGCTGCGGCGCGCCCAACCAGCGGCACGAGTTCTCATTGACACATGGAATTTGCGGCATTTGGCCCCTTCAGTTCGCAGCCAGCTTGGCGCTTCTTGCGAGTCGGCGGAGGCGCCTGGCCTCTGTCACTTCCTCGAACTCAGGATTGGAATGCGCAGACCTTTCTGGAGGGGTCGCTTTTCAGACACCCCAGAACACGCACACACACAATATCTGAATAAACTACTAGCTGGTGGACATAGAGCGGTATTTTGAGGTTGGGTGAGTTCGATTTGCTTTGTCAGCGCTGGAACCTTCCTCTTTGACACGCTCATGGTAGAGGAAGCTTCCTAGTTCAAAAGCTCTCACAGGAACCCCAAACAGATGGCCAAAAGATCGCCAACATGAAGGAGACCTCATTTTCAGAATGTGCGTCTGTTTTTAGGTCGGACCCTCCAAGTAGCTTTGGTGGTCCTTTTGGTTTCCCTTTGACACCATCCAAAAAGGGGCACCCTCGGAAAAAGACGGTTCCAAAACGCGATTTCCCAAAACAAATCCATCAAACACAGGGGTACCCTCAAGCGCCAAAAACAAGACCTGTCGCAAACCAACCCTTTCTC